CAATTGTTCAAATAAAACAAGGAGATACTGCATGGTTTAAAATCAGGAAAGGTGTGCTCTAGGGCTGTATCCTTTAAATATGCTTATTCAATCTATATGTTGTTGTTGTTAAGTACCATTGAGTCAATCCAGACTCACAGTGACCCTGTATAAAGTTTCCGAGGAGCAGCTGCTGAGTTTGAACCACCGACCTTGCAGTTTAAACCGACTTTGCCATCCAGCACATTATCCTGCATTGCCACACTAGTAAAAAATCCAAGAAGATAGATTATATGAAGAATGTGGCATCAGGATTGGAGGAGGCGCCTTAACAACCTGAGATATGCAGATGATAGACTCTTGTTTGCTGTAAAGGAAGACAACCTGAGGTACTTGCTGATGACGATGAAAGATTACACAGCCTTCAGTATGAATTACAGTGTAATATAAAGAAAACAAAAATCTTCACAACTGAACCAACAAACAGCGTCATGATAAATGGAGAAAAGATTAAAGTTGTTACGGACTTCATTTTACTTGAGTCCACAATCAACACTCATGGAAGCAGCAGCCGAGAAACCAAACATATTTGCATTGGGCAAATATGCTGCAAAAGATCTCTTTAAAGTGTTGAACAACTAAGAGGTCATTTTGAGGACTAAGGTGTGCCTGCCTGACCCACAACAATGGTATGTTGAATTGCCTTAAATGCAGGTGAAAGCTGGACGATGAAAAAGGAAGACTGAAGAACTGATGCATTTGAATTATGGTGTTGGTGAAGATCATTGAATTTATCATGGACTGCCAGAGGAAAGAACAAATCTATCTTGGAAGAAGTATAGTCAGAATCCTCTTTAGAAGTGAGGATTACGAGACTTCAGCTCCCATACTTGATACATGTTATCAGGAGGATCCAGTGCCAGGAGAACGACATCATGCTTGGTAAAGTAGAGGGACATCAAAAAAGAGAAAGACCCTCAGTAACCTTGATTGGCACAATGGCTGCAACAATGGGCGTAGGATGGCATAGGACCTTGCGGCATCTCAGTCTGTTGTACAGACTTGGTCACTACGAGTAGGAATGGACTCAACAGCAGCATCACCACTAATAACAAATGTTTTATGTGGATAATATTTTCTTTTATTTTTTAGTCTTTCTTTGTTGTCTACATATATTAAAGTGGACATTACTTATCTTTAGAATCAGGAGAAGTAATAAAGTTAATGCTATTATAGAAAGTAAAACAACAACAACAACAACAAAAGGAACACAATGCCAGGAATTACTGCTTCCTGACGTAGTTGTGTTTTGAGTCAATTTTTTCCAAGATGATGCAGTAGCAATTGAATGGTGAACATCCTGCCGCATTAAGTTGAATCAAGGTGGAATGTAAGGTTGAGTAGACTTGATGGATTGCCCAACCCACTGGGGCCAGAGACTTGTTGGAGGGCAGTGCAGGATGCATAATCTGGAAGTGTTGGATGGTGCCAACATTTAACATGCTCAACTATTAACTGAAAGAAAGGCACACCACGAAAGAAAGACCTGGTCGTCTCCTAAAAAATCAGTCATTGGAAACCCTACGGAGCACAGTTCTACTCTGACACACATGGGGTTACTACGAGTTGGAGTTGACTCCATGGTAACTGTGGTCAGTGGGGGCTCTTGAAACAGAGATTTTGGAGAGGGGCAGATATTCACTATGACAAAGTCTAGGGTTGTTGTTGTTGTTAAGTGCCATCGAATTGGTTACGACTCATAGAGAACCTGTATAGGGTTTTCGAAACTGTAAATCTTTGTGGGAGCAGAAAGACTGATCTTTTTCTCAAGGAGTGGCTGATGGATTCAAACTGCTAACCTTGTGATTCTTAGTCAAGTGCTTATCCTACAGAGCCATTGCACTTCCAAGTCTAGGGTTGTTGTTGTTGTTGTCATTAGATGTTATTGAGTCAGTTCTGATTCATAGTGACCCTATGTACAACAGAACAAAACTGTGCCAGCCTCACAATTATTGTTACACTTGAGCCCTTTGCTGCTACCACTGTGTCAATTCATCTCATTGGGGGGTCTCCCCGTTTTCTCTGATCCTCCAATTTACCAAGCATGATGTCCTTCTCCAGAGTCTCGTCCCTCCTAATAATTTGTCTGAAATATAACAGACAAAATCTGGCCATCCTGGCATTCTGGGTGTGCGTCTTACAACACAGATTAGTTTGTTCTTCTGGCATTCTATGGTATGTTAAATAGTTTTCTCCAACACCATAACTCTAATGCATCAATTGTTCTGTGATCTTTGTTTGACCATGGAAATGAAGCACTGAAGCAGGGTAGGGTGTGGAGGGGGGAGTTGGAAAGTTATTGAACACAAGAAAATGGAAAGACTAGGAAATGGAAGGGCCAGAGGAAAGAATGGAACAGTACCTACTACAACAGTGGGCATGTAAGCTGACAGCAACTTTAGAAGTCATCTGAAAGATAAGGAACTCAGGTCCCATAAGGCACAGTCAAGAGCAAATCTAGAGTCTCCACCACTGTCCCAGTCTCACTCTGACCCTCTTTGTTTGTAGGGACACTGGAGTCAGTCCCTTGTTTTTAGAAATCTCCTTCAGCCACCATGGGAAGAATTAGTGGTGTTTCTCATGTCCCCAAATCCACTAGCCTGTCCTCACTCCATGACCTGGCCATGTCCACAGACCACAAGATGGACAGTACTTGGTATCTGATCCCCAGAGTGCTTGCATGACCTTGAACACTGACTGAAGGCCAGGGTCTCCCCAAGCCCAGCCAGTTTGATTGATGACACTCAGGGGATCAGGAATGGACCGGCCGGGAGCCCAGTTTTTCATATAATTCACCCAATTCTCAGTTTGATATATTGTGGGGATGTGCATGTTGCTGTGATGCTGAAAGCTAGATCACCAGTGTCTCAAATGCCAGCAGGGATGTCCATGGTGGACAGACTAGGCAGCTACTTCAAAAACTCAGTCAGTGAAAATGCTATGGATCTCCAGAGACCATTCTCTGATACAGTGATGGATGAGAGTCCCCTCGGTTGGAAGGCACTCAAAAATACACAGTGGCAGCAACAACAGATTTGAGCTTACACCAAAGACAATGACTATGGCTCAAGGAGCTCTGGTAGCGTAGTGGTTAGGAATCAGGCTGCGAACCGCAAGGTCAGCAGTTCGAAACTACCAGCTGTTCTGCAGGAGAAAAATGAGGCTTTCTGCTCCCATAAAGATTCACAGCCTTGGAAACCCTGTGCAGGGTCTCTATGAGTCGGAACCGATTCCACGGCACATAATAACAACAACATGACTATGACACAGGACCAGGCAACGTTTTGTTCTGCTGTACAACTTTACTGCCACAAGAGGGCCTCACAGCGCTGATACTTAGAAGAGGTCCCCACCAACAGGACTGCTTCTTCATGGAAGGAGAGAGCTCTGAAAAGACCAAGTGGTACATGGGATGTCTCTGTGGCAAGGCCCTGGGAAAAGCTATTTCAGTCCTGCTATCTATTCCGTGTTGGAAGAAGTGCAGCCAGAGTGCTCCTTGGAGGTCAGGATGGCCCAGCTTTGTCTCTCATACTTCCGACATATTGTCAGGAGAGACCAGTCTCTGGAGAAGAATATCATGTTTGGTAAGGTGGAGGGTCAGAGAAAAAGAGGAAGACCCCCAATGAGATGGATTGGCCAAGTGGCAGCATTGATGGACTTAAGCGTGGCAAGAGTAGTGAGGTTGGCCCAGGATCGGACAGTGTTTCGTTCTGCTGTGCATAAGGTTGCTATGAGTCAGTACCGACTCGATGGCACCTAACAACAACAACAATCTACTCCTGGGTGCACAGCTTCACCCTACTGCTAGGCTGGTAGCCCCCCCACCCAACCATTGTCTCCCTTCTGCTCCCCCAAACGTCCCTCCTGACACCTCACCAGGGTGTGGATGCCAGAGTGCTCCCTTGGCTTTGTAGTGATGGTGGTGGTGGTGCTTGTGGGGTTTTGTCTCATAGCAGCCCTGTATAGCAAGGGAGGGGAAACTTTTTTCTGTCAAGGGCCATTTGGATAGGCCAAGGGTCATTCATGGGCAGTGCAAAATTATCAACTTAAAAATTAGCCTTCTATATTTAGTCAAACATTTAATTAACTCGCGCATAAATGAGTCCTCGTGTGGTTCTGTGAGTTAATGCACTGGACTGCAACGTCAATTTGAACCTCAAGGTCAGTGGTTCAAGCTCACCAGCTGCTTCTCTGAAACACTTAGGAGTAGGAACCGACTCAAGCATTTAACAAAACAACAAATGAATCCTGGTATGGTGCTGAGTTAATGTGCTGGACTGCAGAGGTGGTTTGAACCGCAAGGTCAGTGGTTCAAGATCACCAGCTGCTTCTTGGAAACCCTATGCAGGATTACTATGGGTTGGAACCAACTTAATGGCACTTAACAAGAACTACAATGGAGTCCTGGTGTGGTGCTGTGCGTTAATGCGCTAGACTGCAAAGTCGATTTGAGCTCCAAGGTCAGCAGTTCAAGCTTACCTGCTGCTCCTTGGAAATCCTATACAGAACTGCAGTTGCCTTGGCAGGGCCAGACCAAATGATGTCATGGGCTTTATACTACCTTCAGGAGCTCTGGTAGTGTAGTGGTTACAAGTTGGGCTGCTAACCTCAAGGACAGCAGTTTGAAACTACCAGCCATGAAATGATCTTTGTATGACTTTCTGCTCCTTTAAAAGATCTATAGCCTCAGAAACCCTGTAAAGGGTCGCTATGAGTCGGAACCAACTCCAAGGCACATAACCACCACCATACTGCCTGCAGGCTGGGCATCCCTCCTCCACCCCTTCAGTATAGGGTTACTGAGGTTGTAAATCTTTATGGGAGCAGAAAACCTCATCTTTCTCCAGTGGAGCAGCTGGTAGATTCGAACTGCTGACTGTATGGTTAACAGCCCAACTCATAATCCTTACATTACCAGGGTTCCTTTCCCTTGGCTTAGCTGGTCTAATTTCTTATTTTAGGAGGAAATTAGAGGTGCAGGTTCATACCCAAATCATCAATCTGGACAATGAGCCAAATGGGCTTAGGCACACAGAGGAGCAGGCAGAGGTGAAATACTGGGGTGAGAGGTGGAGACAGCAGGGAGGGGGGACAGGAAGGAGGGTACAGAGGGCAGCAATCAGCTCACATTTAGTCTTTCCCTTTCATCCACCAACTACTCCTCAGAAAACTTCTTGTGAGGCCTAGTCTCTTATCCCCTCTTTTAAATAAAGCCATGATGAGACCGTGATTCAGAGAAATTCCCACGCTTCAGCAACCTCAGGCCATTCTGAGGTTAATTCCAGCAGCAACATTAGAATCCCAGTCCTAGGATACAGCTCACTTCCTGCCCCAGGCCAGAGCTAGGAGGCCCACACTCACGCACCTCAGACCCAAGGAAGGCAGAATTAACCAGTTTTCCTTGCGGTTTTGTTTTGTGGGTCTTCTTATACTCTTGATTCTGGAATTTCCATGCATAACCCAAAAGACAAAATAACATACAAGTTCCACAGACCCAGCACCCAACCTCAACAGTTATCAACAACTTACTGTACTTCTTTCATCTCTACCCCACCGTTTTACTTTTCATTTTACAGCTTTAGGTATATTGAAGCAAATTCTAGATTCATGTCATTACACCCCAGACAACTTCAATATCTTAACAAGCCATCTTGTTCCACTTCTTGCTCTACAGAAGGAGAAATCAAAAACTGTTTTCAACTTTCCAGATGAAGTATGAAGTCCAGGGAGTTGAGGGACTGCCCATGGCTCCCAGAGCCTGAGAGAGAGCCACCACATACCCTGTCCCTGGCTTTTGCTCAAAACTAACCAATTCCTAATGCTGGTGCTATGGGAGCTGTTTGCACTCCTATAGCCTGGTAGGGTGGAGGGTCAGCCTGAGCCACATCCCACTGTGAACAGAGCTGGACAAGCCCTTGGGGACTCTGGTCCTCCCTGGTTATCCCCTAACGAATGTGGAAAGGGTACGAGCCACCCCCTGCAGGCAGCCACACATGTGTTTCTGGCTGAAACAGAAGGTTGGCATCATTGAAAAGGACAAGCTGGTAGACTCACACCTCCGTTTCCTCAACCACCAGATCTTATGGATCTTACAAACCTGATTGCCTCCTCAGAAGGGAAGAGAAATGAATAAGAAAACGAAGTTACTGCTGGCATTATTTTTAGAAACTGCAGTATGAACTTGAAGTATGAAAAATAAATGTCTTGAGAAGAGCAATGAAGGAAATGATAAATCCATGCCTCCAAAATGCAAGGAAACCCTGTCCATCTTGGACACCCATCCAAGGTTGATGGGTGTTAGAGAGCTGGGTGAGAGGGATTTCATCAGAGACCAGTGATGACTGAAGGGCTTTCAATTTGGTGAACAAACACATCCACGAATGATGTGTTAACAGCATTCTCAAAAAAAAAAAAAAAAATACGACTCTTTCAAAGCTTTCCAAACTGCTAGGAAAGGCAGTTTGGGAAGCAGAAACCATGAAACTTAAGCAGAAACCTATGCCTGGAACCATGCTTTAGACTCAGCAATAAGGCAGACACAAACATTCAGGATCTGCTTCCTGAATTGGAGTATTTAAAGGTGGTGGGGTGCTGCAGAGGATTTTCTGGGATTTGACCTGCTGCAAAGTTCACTCAAGCCTGAGGATGACTATCTATGTCTGAAGGACACCAACAGGTGTGCAACTCCCACCCTGGAGGAGCAGGATAGGGCATGAGATGAATGTGCATCTCCTCCAGACCACCTCTCCAGCTCATTTTGGAGCAACCTGGGCTCCCCACCCTGGATGATACATCATGCAGACCCTATAATGTATCTATTTCCCTTGAGTCCTCCAAGGCCTCCCTGTGTATTGCAGATGGTTGATGTACTTGGCTACTAACAGAAAGTTTGCATGTTCAAGTCCACCCATAGGCAGCTCAGAAAACAAAAAACGAAAAACCTGGCAATCTACTGCTGAAAAACTCAGACACTGAAAATCCTATAGAGCACAGTTGTATACAGACACATGTTAGGGCACCATGAGTGGAAACTGCCTTGATGCCATGTGATTGTGTGTGTGTGTGTTTTACTTCAAGTAGTTTATTAGGGAGCTGATTGAAGATTCATGGTAGTGGAGTAGGGAAGCGAGATGATAAAAGAAAGGAAACCAAGTGCACTAGTGAACAGGTTACCATGTGGTGACTGAGCTCCATCCTATTGAGGATCTCTGAGCAACAGCATGGAGGACACACCTCAGACCTCCATGAAGAGCAGGGAAGCTGGGTTGTTGTTGTTGTTGTTAAGTGCCATCGAGTCGGTTCCGACCCATAGC